GTGGAAGGTGTCTACATCGCAGCGCATGATGTGGATGGGAATATATTGCAGTTGTAGAGACATAGCCACTTGACCTAACATCTCGGCTACCTTGGCCTATATTTAGCATCTGCAATAGTTACTGGTGTGGGGTAAGTCTTGAGGCCAAAGTACATAGCAGTCATGGGTCGATTCATTCATAGAGGACCGTAAGGAAGGGCGCACCACTGAGGAGCTCTATGCATGGAAAAAAGTCCATCTGGTGGCTATTCTGGAGGTGTATTTGCTAACCTGAATAGTAGGTGCGCGTTTTGTGATGAACACTCAGCCTCTGTCCTTCATCCCTCTACGTCATAATAAATCAATTTTAGTTACGTATTTTCAAAAATGCAATTTCGATGCATAGCTGCGGTACAACAAGGAAAGTCTATGACGACGAAAGGACAATGCAGTCATCTGCAATGGCAGTTCTTGAATGGCAAGGAGCCTGCAGGGAAGTTGCATGCAAGGTAAGTGAAATACGTGTTCATGTCAATATCGAGTGAGTCTTACAATTAGTAATAGTTTGCTGCCATTCTCATGCTATGTGGCGTTAACGATAAAATATATTTGGAAGCGAGTCCGTAAGCTGTCATTGTACATTGAACAGCTCTCTTACAGCGACTCCGAATGATGCGCAAATCGATGACATCCCTAAATAATGAGGACCGGCCGCCGGTTCAGATAAGATAGGCATAGTAGATGGTGTAATCACATGGTCGAACTTGTGCGACGAGAGACCACTATCCGTCAGCATTCTTCTTCTCATAAATAAAACAAATGCGTACTTAACGCTACTTTCACAAATTCCCATGTCGATTCAGAAGCATCGGAACCGAATGTCCTGAGGCCGGAATGCCCAACACTGCTACATGTAATATGTGCTGTGCGACCCTGCATAGTGCAGTGGAGAATGGGTCCCGGCTATATACGCAGTTAAGCTAATCAGAATATCGTAGAAGACGGGCATCTCACCGTCGCCCATATTGTAGACGGTCTCCGGTGGCATACTGCCGTGGGAAGCTAGATTACAACACAGTGGCATTAATCGAGTTCATGGTGTGTACGATCATCAATACGCTCTGATGCCCGAAGGATGCACATAAATGACGAGCCCTAATCTGATAGAAAAAGCCGTCTGGACTATTTTCTGTATCTAGCTGACATAGCTGAAATTTCCATTGAATCGGCGGCAGAGCACAAAAATCGAGCCCACAACTTCATCTACGATACGGAATTACGTTTTCGCCATTACGGATTTCCAGTACTTGCTACCGTCGCTTCATAGCTGCCGTAAACATAATGCTGACTTCTTTAAAGCGAACCGCGTCTAATTTGCCATGGCATATAATTTCATGATATTGGATGGACGGGTCTCGCTTATGTTGCAGTTATCAAACAATTATACTATGCGGCTACCGTCCTTCAGGGCTTATTAGCAAATGCGAAAGGGGCACTGAGGGACAGTTGGCACAGTGCCGACCATATCTCGTCAGTGCGTTCACCATCCCCTCTCCGAACGTATACCGAAGCGTCACCGCGCACCACTTTTAGACAAGCTCGCAAAGCGTTTGTCAACGACGCTAGATACTGGTCTCCCAACCTGTATTTGTTCGGCACTGTTATTTTCGAGTGGATAGGGCGCACATAGGTTTCTTCAACGGTATGCATCGAACAGATTGCATTCAGCAAGATTAAGGTGGGCAATAACAACACCGTGGAATACCCTGAGTCATTTAACTCAGGTATTACAGATACTCGACGAGTTTGACGAGCTGTCGTGTGTAGCAGTATTAAAAGTCCAAAGTGTCTAGAAACTGTATCACTAACAGCACTGTCACCCTTGAACGCGCCTTTTCTGAGTAACGACCTACACATCAAGACAACACATCAGTGAATCTAAGATGACAATATATGCCAGCTGGGCACGTCATTAAATTTCGGGCGGGTTAAAAGACAAACCAATTTGAATTGAAATTATCTCGGTTTTGAATGAAGATCTACAGGTAGCATTGGCGAAAGCTGCGAAGCTCATGACAGTAAACTTGCTATAAGTTGACAAGAAAAGGTGAGGTAGATGATAGTTGAAGAAACAAATATGAACATCTGCTAGGGCGAGCATCAAGGCTTGTGTCGAGCCCCATACGTAATCGCAAAATATACCATCGTACGCATTAGGGTTCGGATCATATGACGCTAGAAATTGAACTATGATATTTTCGAAGGCTTTCCACGTCTAGAATCAACGGTGTTTTATGACTTTTATACAAGGTCTAGCATATGCTGGATCAGACGACCTCTTCTAAGCTGCTTCGGCAACACTGTATCGTGTCGGCAACCATGTAGTTCAGAGTTAAAAAACCTCTTTACGGGACGCCATAGAGTCGAGTATAGTGTGCTGGCAAGCCCTCAGTTCTTGCTCCCCGACTGTATCTTGGTGATACCACCGCCCCGGTCCAATCGAGTCTATCAGACTACACAAGTTGTCGAATATCAAGGGCTAGACCCACAGTATTCATTTAGAATGCCGACCAACAGCTACTTCAGAGTGACTAGGCTACGGTAAGACAATAGTCAATCACAAAGCTGCACATTGTTTCACGTGAGTACATGTGCGGACTCTCTCCATAGCTTAAGACAGAGCAGATACTCCACACGAACACCGGTAACGAGTGTTTTTGTGGCAACATTAAAAAGTCTATCGTGATTTAAACCTGCTTATGTCAGGATGACCGTGGTCGCTGCAGTAAAGCCAAGTGCCCTCGAAGGCATGGAAGAAGCAATATTGGTGTTAAACACTTTTTAATTACTTTGGGATCGGTTAAAAAACAACATCAACTCTTTTAACTATACTGCTCTCATTTCGTGATGACTCTTGGCACTCCCGTTGCAACTGTGTGTCCGGACAAATTAACAATCCTTATATTCTTTGACCTAAAGTTCAGCGTAATTGTCTCGACATCCTGATGTATTACTAATGCCAATCAAGCTTGTATTCCATATCGGAATGTTTAACTAGCCATATATGTCGGCTTCCAAATACTCGCCATTAAAAGGTGTCACAGCTATGTACGATCAGGGGCTGAACACGAACTGGGCCATTCAGTGGATGCATATCCGCAGATCACGTAGGTACACCTGATATCGCAGACTTGCATTGGTACAAACTACACAACCATGTGTGGACCCCTCTCTTGACCCCGACCGCACTTGCAACTCCGTCATGTTACATAACAAATACCGAGAGGTCACCCGACTGAAACTCGATACAGAAAATAACAGTCGCCTGGGTTTGCTGTCAGGATATTCCTTCCAATCGTTCAGAATGCATGCTGAAAATGATGTCACTGTATCCGTTGCCAATGCACCGACAATAACATTAAAGTAAAAGCGCTTGACTGCAACTCATTCAATTACCCTGTTGATGCATTCCCCGCTAAATTGTGTGTGGCATTGTATGGGTTTGCTTTTACATTTAAGCGATTTCAGAACTTCATCGGAACAACCGATAATTCCTTCGTTAATAATGAAACCGTAGACCACTCTCTACTATGTCATTCATACCAATATATACTTCTATATATTTAATATAGATACACCACAATACAAAAAGCGCATAAAAATCGCTACACCAACCGAACAAACTTCGTATTGTTCATTATGCATTTAAGCGCTGACATAGATAACAATAATATTAGTAACGGTGCACTTTATGTAATGGACCTCTTCTGTATATAAACCTTGTTATAGGGGGGGGGGTGAGGGGGGGGGGGGGGGGGGGGGGGGGGGGGGGGGGGGGTGGGGGGGAACAAATTCATGTCCTACTTGACATAACATCTTCCATCTGCTGTATAAAGCAAAAGATGCTCTTATACGTAGCTTCCTGCAGTGGGTATAGAATGCTGGAACAGACCATATTCTATAATGTCAAAAACGCAAAAACTGGTCACTCTCTGCGAACACTTTTCTCGTAATTTTACCCTTGTTATTAATAGTGTACGGACAGCGTACCTAAAACGACTCAGCTATGGTATTCTGTAATTCCATTGCTCAGTCTGAATAGCTCTACATTATAGAGAAAAGACTCAACTGCAAATTTTACTCTTGGACAAAAACTGAGGTGAGTAGAGTTTCGGCTCAGGATAAACGACGATCATCGATAGTGATCGCAGTCGCGTTCCAACACTTCAACTCAATAGTCGTATGTATGTTATGGTAGCTATGCGTCTTAGAGAACAGGAACAAAAATGAAAGGGGGGGGGGGGGGGGGGGGGGGGGGGGGGGGGGGGGGGGGGGGGGGGGGGGGGGGGGGGGGGGGGGGGAGGGGGGCAAATTACTCCAGCCAAATTCTTGTCTTCGCAAGATGCCTTTGGCCAAGCATGAAATAGTTAAATGGTATCATACTTACATTAAGCAACGCAAATGTGGTTTTGTATGGTGGCCGCGTTTTCTTGACGTTGTATCTGTCATCCGTGTGGACTTTTGAATTCGACGACTACGGTCCGTTCACTAGTATAAACGAAGTTTCTTCTACGGCTGAAAGCTTCCTTATTAAGGACACAACTTTGCTGATATTCGAAAATCACATCCACTTTCGAAGTAACGCTGTGTACGTGCAAATAAGGGACACGCTAACGCGTCTATGCCGATGCCACCGAGTGAAAAATTGTATGATCATGCCATGAAATGAACTTCAATACTGGTCGCACTTGTTAGAAATATCTTTCCATGCCGACATCCCAACTTAAAACAAATGTCCAATGGGAGGCCATATGATCTCAGAATTTTCTTATAAATGTATCACTGCAAACACGATGGTACTTATTCGGCATTTGATTCTACAACATATATTAATAAAAATTGAACGTAATTCCCTTTTTATCAACCTAACCACAAATAGTAAGGCTCATTTGCTCCGCAAGCAATATCATTAATCGCTTCTTCTTTGATTTGGGTTAACAAAATATCGTTTGCGTTTCAAAATTCTAAAAGCTTTAGTGCATGGTAATTAAATTCATTTCTTTGGAACCACTGTTAAAGCCAGCCAACGAGTGTGACAAGTTGCACGCTTCACAAATCAGTCGTGTCACCAGCCCTTGTTCTGATTACGAAAACCGAAAGTAAACGATAAACGGGAGGCAACAACCTAAATCAAACCTGAATTTTCAATTAACTTCACTAGTCTAAACACATACTGTTGGGAACATTATTTCGTAGCATTATTCAGACGCACACTCCAAATGACACGTTAATGTAGTCAGCCATGTATGCATAAGCTGAACAATGCAATTTGAAAACGGATTGTATAATTGTGGATTATGCAAATTGCTTGTTCATGTAATGGGATCTTATTAGTACATAATGCTTGATCTGTCTAACCCAACAATTCATTCTACGCTTACCCCGCTTTGGTTTATTTGTATTGTGTTCTTGGTCTTGTTGATTTGATTATAATGGCGGAGGTAATGTGATGTGTATGTACAACATTAGGAAACATTACAACCAGTCCACATTCATAATCAGGGAAGCTTTTCACTGGTTTCCGTCTCTTTTTATATGAGGGCCAATTACTCTCTATTCTTAATTTTCCGCTAAGGTCAGTTGTAGTTGTTGAGAAGATTGAAACTAATGCGGGTGCGTCAATTGGTCCGTTATTTTTTGTTGACCAATTAATTAATTCTTACAACAGTAGCTGTGTATTTATCGTGATATTCACTCAGTTAAAAACGCAGCAACGACTACATGCACGGCGACCTCTTAGAAAAACAAAATGTTACTTGAAATCGTATCGACGCAGATAAATATAGAGCTTATAGTTTGGCAATTGTGTACCAAAACTATATACTTACCGTAGAAAGCATTATGCCGTTGCGTATTGTAAAGGAAATTGCGCACTCCGTGCAGGTATCTTCCAAGATTCAGCCAATTCAACGGTCTTTCCATTCATTGCTATAGTTTTCATCAACGGTGTATGATCAGTAGTTAAATTTTCATCCTTGCAATAAATGCACGAGGGGGTTATCAACTGACTCCTCACGAATACCACACGACATTTCTGTGTACCGACTGGAATCAGAACCCGCAGAGACAATTTAGCTCAGTAAATCTGAGGGTTCACATGATCTAGGACCGCACGTAATGTGTCGCAGTCTACAAACTTCATGTTGCTGCCAGTATTGTATTAAGTGCCAAATAGAGACATTCATATAGTATTTCTCCAAATTAACGTAGATTATGCTTTATAAGAAAAATTCTAATGTATAAAACAGTGTCATTAGCTTCTTTACTCACATTTGAAATAACATCGTGATATGAATCTAGTATCTAAAATAATTGTTCATAATCAGACTAACTTTTGATGGGCTTCATCCATAATCATACCTCATGCTTAAATGCACATTCCTTAAGTAAACCTAGAGGCATGCTAGTTAATATCTTATAACACTTTCGATTATCTACTACTTAGCTCTCCTGACCTCCGAAAGGTGAGATGACAAGTGCTATCGAGGCTCAAGTAGCAATGCACAACTGACTTAGGTACTGAGCTACATATATGCACTCGCCTCGTATTCATTTCCGATAAGAACAGAATGTTTACTCTTGTATTTCAGAGCAAGTATTAGTTGAGAATCTATGAGAGCCTCTCATACTGATACTTAGTTGTAGGGAAATGCATGCAACCCACGTTGGAAATATAGCAGCTACTTGATGTTCAAGATATAGAGAGATGCAATATTTATTCTGCATTTCTTGTGAACGGGTTAGGTAATAGTATCGTTTGGTACAGCAATCAATCGTTCTTAAACACTATAGCTCTAGTGTCTATCATAGTACTGCCGGCTTCCTTGAACAGTGAAAATTTAAAGCGGATCTGCAGACACATACTCGATGAAAATAATTCCATGCACACATGCACGTCTACGGAAAGCAAACCACTAAGATCCAGGAAGATATGCATTTAACACGAATGATCAAATGGATTTTGGTATACATTATTCTGTATTTCGGGTTCTTTTAGATCACGTTTCATGATCATAATTTCGCCCACGTTAAGAACAATATGAACAAATTGACAGAATTGATCAAGACTGACCTAGAAACTAATGCGAAAAAGCGGTCTCAAGATAACTGTGACCGACTATCCGGTGGATCCAACTGGGAGATCTGCACTTGACTCAGTACGAATTGAAATCTTTTTTTTAAATAAGTTAGAAGTTGCTGGCGTAGGCTCCTAGCGCACTCATGCATCTTCCGAAGTTTATCTGCATCTCTTATATAAGAGATGCACAACGTACTCAGCTCGATGAACAGTAAATTGCAATACACACAAACGACCATGTCAACACCACTTAGTCTCTTAGGCGGCGTTACTTTGAGTTTTGATGGAAGTTAGCGTAGGGGAGGGGGGGGGGGGGGGGGGGGGGGGTGGGGGGGGGGAGCATTGTGTGTCTAGGCTGCCTGAAATAACACTGGTATATTCAAGATGCGCGGTATTTCTGCGAGAAGAGCTATTGCAATACTAACTTGCTTCCAATTTACCGAAAAGAACGCTTAATTTTACATCGACCGGTGATGAACATTAAAGTCTGTGATGCAAAAATTGCATTACACCTTCACTGTTTACCATATAATGAATAGGCAGTTAACAACTCAAGTGTAATTTCGATATACCTTAATACATTCCAGTTTAGGTGAACTTAGCCTCTGTTGTGCGAAACAGACCGCAACTAGTCGGTCTTGCCCCCTGCGACTAGTTGCATCGGTTGTCATCAACATCCATTCGGTATTAACATATAAATCCCCTATAGTGAATTGAACAGCTAACTCTTAAGATGGCATAAAAGATGGCATAATTCACAAACTCACCGCGCATCATATTCATTTGTGCTATCTAGCGGCATATTCTTACAAAGACAGACGACTCATATTTTGTATCTTAGCGTAAACTGGTAAACATAGTTCAGCGGATGAAATCCGAGTGCTCTTTTTAGCTGAGTTTATGCAACATTAAGTTAGAACATATAATTCCGCTCCCCTGATTTATGTCAGTTGAATTCACACGTTGTTGGACAATGGGCTATTGGTATTTCATCAGGCCGAGACGAGAAACGGAATAACTCTCGGAGGCTGTTTGAGGCTGCCTGCTAGTTGATGGAAGAATGGTTAAACTGGGCATCATATTACTCGTCTTTACCTAAAAAAGGCTTTTGCACTTCATATTGATCTTAAAGAACTGGGGGCGTATTTATATGCAGCGTATTGTAAAGAATCAGAGCAATCTGACTATAAACTAAGTCGCTGTTCCATGTTTACCGAGGATGGGATGATATCTCTCTATTAGCTTAATGTGATTAGTTGTGTGAAAAACAGCTGGGTTAGCCTATTTTGAGGCAAATATTGTCTTGCCACTTACTACAGTGACAAACCAATAAAATCGTGTACAAACAAGCAGCACAGCGTACCTTGCACTTCACTGGACCTATACCATCCCCAGAATTTGAACAAGATATTTTATTCCGAAATCATAAGGCGATATTTCTGGATATATCGTGCTGGAATAATCCAGTTTTTATCCGGACTATTCCCACGACACTTATTCGGTTCTCTATGTTGACGCAGTGCCACCGTGTGCACATGCTCATAGACATTTTGTTTGGATCAACAGACACCTTCCCTCTGCATTTCGGTCCCTCCTCAGTTTTGACCTTCATGTATTATGCAGCACCGGAGAACCTGGTCTGAAAATCAAAAGTAGATATACCATCAATTGGTGACTTGTCTGATGTTTTTAAAACTGGTAGAGTTTAGCGGTGCTATCGTTCGAGAAAGACTTCAACATTCACCAAGCGTGTACACCTACTAGAGAAGAGGGCTCAGCGGAAGTATATACTAGTGATGATTAATTTTGAAATCAGGTGCATATTCTTATATATGTACTGGGACATAATGTCGCGATTGAATAACCATACATTTATTTACTATGGAAAATATGTGTATTTTTATTTTCAAACTCCAGCCTAAGAGTATTTTTTTGTCGATATTTCGGACAATCGTACTTCCAGCAAGTCATGTAAATAAATAACTAGACTTTGTTTTCGGTTTTACTCTCTCTAGGTCACGCAGCATTGTCAAGGAGGTTTCCACTCGGTCTCAAAGATTCAATACAATCCTGCAAACCGAAGTTTGATAAGGAAACTAAAGAGGTGAAGGGGGGGGGGAGGGTGGGGGGGGGAGTATATCAGGAATGACCCGCGAGCGTGTACTGCAGAGTGGCACATCAGATGTACTTTGTTTACCTGAGGATATTATTGCGCAAGCGTATTTATCCTCGTAGCTCAATGTGATAACACCACCTGCTCCTTTCTGTATAGGCCTAATAGTCTACGGATCGGCTTTCGCGATGAGGGGAGCTGCGGCATTATAGGCCTTCACAGGATTCTTGTAAACCCTCTGTACGTGATTATTTCTTGGAAGTTGAAACACAAG